CCATCACTCATATTAACATTATTATTAATGTTAATTACCATCTCCACCATCATGTCTTGGTTTAGGGTTAAGCATTAACCAACCAAACATGAACACACACCGAATCTACCTCAGGAAATAAAACAGAACTCTTTTTATCCCCATTAACATCAGAAAGCCTCCAAGAAGACAAAGCAAAGATACTTTTTTATGCCTTAGTTTAGATCACATACATAGCTTTATTTATTAGATTTTTCATTTGAATTTTTTTATCTTTAATTTTTAATTTAATTAAAATTACTCGATTAATCAGTGGAATATTCAACAGAATACTCGATTGTTAGAATAACCGATGCAGCCCTAAAACACACGATACCCGAGGTAGTGCTGGTTTCTTCCATGCTGACATACACAGTGGAAATGGTTGCACCTTTCATGCTTGGTTATATACAAGTACCCCTCTGGCACCAAGTAGATGCACCTATAGCATAAATCTGAAAATCCCAGGTGATTTTCAGAAAATTGACCTCTGACCTTGACGCCAAAGTCATCGGGATTCAAACTTGTCTGAGATTTTTAGTAGTGTAACGTATGGTATGATTTTTTTTTAAAAAATCTTATGTTGCCATGTTTTTGTTTTTTTAGATTTTTAGAAAAACTTGACCTCTAAGCTTGATTGTGACCATTGATCTAAGATTTTTAGTACATGCGCTTTGGTCTGACTTTGAATATCCAATGTGATTTCCTTCATAAGAGTCACACACAAGATTCTCAGAACACTTGACTTGTGACACTGAAACTCATCTGAAATTTCTAGTAGACGCACATCTCGTACCAAATTAAAAATCATACGATGACAGATTCCCGAGTGACTGCATCCACAAACTTTGTACAGTGATGTACATGACGAATGAAAAACATCACTGAACCAAACGTTTATGCTGTTGTCTTCCTTGTGCACAGCCATACGTTCCCAATGTGTCTTTACAACCGCTCAGGTTTTGTTTCATCTGGTCACATCCCGCTCTCACTTTTTGCAGTGTAGCCCGGGGCAGTCGCTGCAGATGAGCTGGAGGCACAGATCTGTGAGCAGGTCTTTCTCTATGGGCGTGTCAATGATAGATTAGTGTGGGAGCATAGGGATTCCCAGACTGCACAGAGGGCCACCACTGCAACAGTTCTGTTGTAACTTTATTGCAGTTTATTGTTTGCTAACAGCATTTTGGTTATTTTGTAAGTGATTTAAGTGTTAGTCACATGTTTAGTGAGAGCTGATAATTATAGATTTAATTTTCTGCTAAAGGGGAGCATTTAACAGGTATTTTCATTAGAAAACTGCGTTTCCCAGAATCCTTTGTGGTAGACGAAAGTTACTCTGGGTTTTTTTTTTAGCTAGCAAGAAGAAAGTTTTCGGGAAGCCATTATATGTTGCTCTGATGTCGAGCAGTTTATTTGTTGTACATTCCCCCTTTTGAAGCCTTATATAAAGACTATCGTTTCTACAACTGATTTCGATCCATTTTTTTGGCTAAGTGGATTTGCCACAACAAGTTCTTTGGAAACCTTCTTGTTTTTAAGTTTGAGCCTGACTGATTCCCCCCCATCAGCCATTCCCTCTGAAGAACACATGAGCATATTCCACATCTATCGAGTATACTGACTATATGGACAGCCGTGTGCATAGTCAGGCCATAAAAAGGTAAATCCTTTCTCTGTGTGGGAACAGGTGTTTATACAACATCCATAATTGATTAGAGAGAGAGATGGAAAAATATGAAAAAAAAAATCTTTTAAATATCAGACTGTTGTCACAGACGGGTGGAAATTATAGATTTTCTTCACTTTTTGTATCGGCCACTCAAACTTTTCACCAGCCATTATTTTTCTATTTTGTGTGTAACATTTGAATGATGCATTTCACCTCCTTATGGCCTTTAGACAATCCGAGGTCCTTCGTGGCCTCTAATTCCAAGTATTTTGTGCTAACAATAAAGCTATCAGTCTTGCTGCTGGAAGGCGTGTGCTGCCGACAGTTGGAACAAAACATTGACTGGCTGCTCTCATCAAAAGTGAGCCAGTCACGTAACTCGCCGTTGTCACTTCTTTTCCATTTTTCGTTAAAAAACTGCCGTTTAACGTCCCATCGTAACACCTCTTGAGGAGTGTTTTTGTTTCTGCCACCTGCTTAGCTCCACAAATGTAACACCACATTGCTAAACTGCTCGAATTTTCCCCTCCTCTTTCAAAAGCCCCTTTTCCATTAGTACCTCCTCGGATCGACTCGCCACGGATCACCAAGACTCGGATCGACTGGTGTTCCATTGTAAACCAGTACTACCAAACCCGCGTGGCTGTCACCATTGCAATGTGTTTGGGCATCCTGCGACGTCGAGGCGACGATATACTTGCTGCTCCGTCTGTGGCTTCTCATCACTCGTGAACCACAGCGTTGTTTGCCTGGTTTCAAAGATGGCAGTTTTAACTTTTGTGAACAAGACGTGCTCGTGACTCGTCAAGTGACGCTACTGACCAGCCAATCTGTCGACGACACATTTTAGTACCTGCTCAGATCGCATAACAGCATTTAGAGCAGACTGGCAGCAACACATCCGCCCACGACAGGTCAGGACTGCAAATTAAACATAGTTTTTTCTGTTCAAACTTAAATCCGCCATGGTGGCTTCTGCATTGTTCAAATTTACCACGACTTCATAAACTTACCCGCATTTGGCCAGTGGCGGGTGCTAATTTCCACCCCTGGTCACAGATCATAATAAGAAATTTCCAAGAATATACTTGGACATTCTTTAATATTACAGTCTTAGGTTTTCAAGAACAGATCAAAAAATTTATTAACCTCATCACACCACAGACGCCACTGGGAAGCATGGAAAACCGCATGTATATGAAAGTTCAGAAACATACCTGTATCTAATACACAAAAGCGTCCAAAGTCAGGATATTATTCTGAACAGCCATGTCTCTCTACGGACTGTTACTGAGACATGTACCACAGCCTTTTATTAAACTAGTACCACTTCCAGACTCATCAGTACCAAAGTATTGTTAAGTGTCTGGACAAACTGTTATTTAAGCAATGTTAATGTATTCTTACAGAGCTCATGTTTCCTTCTTTTCAGCTGAAACAAAGGAGCTTTAAACCTGCTGGTCTTCAGCGCAGCCTTCTGACTCCAACGCTGATGGTATTTGTAAAATAGTTACTTACCTGGGAAAAAACAAGTCTATCTTATTGGATTGTTTCAAGTTTTTTTTTTATCATAACTTCTTAAAGAGGTATGAAATGGAAATTGAATGATTTCTGTCTCATATAGAATCCTTTATAGGCTGGATAAATGCTCACTTTATAACTAACCATTACTGACACAATAACCATGTTTTTTTTAAGCACCACTCACTTTTCCATCTACTATTTTTTAAACCACCGTCCTCGACTTTTACTGCAAGGTTGGCATCAAATTTAAAATGTGCAACATTTCTTAGTTTCGACATTTCAAATGCTTTCTTTGTTCCATTTTTAGTCGAGACAATACATTACTTACAAACCATGACATTGTTTTTGTTTACTTTTTCCACACTGTCACACCTTTCTAAAAATCAAGGAGGTACACTACTACAAAAATGTAAAAAGCTTTCACTGTGGCAGCGAGGATGTGTATCCTGCTATGGCTGCCAGGAGATTCAAGAAAAAGGACGAGTAAAAAACTCCACAGCTGAGATTACACTACTACTCAACAGCAGGGACCTTTCATTCATACAACCCCACAATCACCAAGTGTGTGGAAGGCTGAATGTTTTAGGTCTGGAAACGTTTACCCTAACATTCAAAGGCTCGGGCGTTGCTTTAATGCCACACTGTCACAAATTTGCCATAAAGAAGAGAAAAGTGACAAAACAATGAGAGCTTTTATTCCCACAGTCTTCCTGTGGCAAAGATCTGAGTTGTACAGTCAATCCTGTATGAAGATGAAGTTAAAATGGCTAGCTCCTGTTGACAAACCTCTTATAGGAGAGGAAGGCACAGATATCCGTCTCCATTTCACCTCAAAGATAACTGTACTGTATTATCCTATGTAGCGCGACTGAAAGAAGTCAATGTAAATATCAGCATGTGACTGCCTGAAATCCCGAGCAAGCAGCAGCAGCAGCAGCAGAGAGGCTGAAGAGGCACCAATTTGTCTGAAATGAGCTTGTGTGCACCAAAGAATAATAGCAGCACACATTAAATATTGATTCCAGTTTGGTGTCTAACGTCATCTCGACATCCACCTCCGTTAATCCGCCGATCAGGAAACAATCAGCCGTCTGGCCCGAGTAAAGCCTTGCCCTTACAGTAAAATGTTGGTTATGCTGACAGGCGCCAGGCAGCCATTTAGGTGCATATGGAGTCAGTTGAGTCTCTACGTAAATGGCTGATGCATTTCGAATTTTTCTTCCTAATTGCTGAGAGCCATCAGCACCCCCGGCCTCCTCCTAGCGCCTTTTAATCCGCCACTTTATATAGCCTTGCTTCAATAAAACCGTCTCACGACCTCGTCTCATTCCACTGTTCTCTCAAGAAGCTTGTACTAGTACCTGAAAGACCGTGTTTCTTTATCGAGTCTGAGTTAACCCCTAGAGACTCTGGATGAAACAATGAAACGGATTGGAGGCACTCCGACCAACGTTTCCATCAGAATGTAATTACAACACGTCCGTTAGCAGCTCGGCGCTTATCAAAACAAAAAAGCCACACACGATAAAAAAAGATCCATAGTGTTTGTGTTGCGACTGGAGGCCTTTAAATGTAAAGTAACAGTTGCAGGCGGCATTGCTGGTCGCCAACATGTCAGCATGCATCAATAAATAGCGAAGCAAAGGCGCTCCATTGTCTGACAACGTATCAGCGTATCCGCTAACAGGAAAACGACACAATAACCGTCCGGCTGCGACGTCAAATCCACAGTTGCCGTTTCAAAACATCCCTGACCAGAACCAGGCCCCGTACACATCCTCGGACTCACCTGTATCTCCTTTCGCCTCAGTGTGTAGCGTCTCCGGGTTCACGGTCCGGTCCTGACGCGTTGCAGCAGCCCCTCACCACCAGTCCCCGGCACCGGCAGGCAGCACTGAGAAGCTGATTGGGCCTCGATAGACACTCACCCTTTCGGTGCATCCAGACAGCCAGCTAATTGGTCAGACGCTCTCTCCGTGAAGTCCAGACAGCGCAATGAATGGCTGTTCGTTTCCACAGAGGACCCAGACAGACAGCTGATTGGTCGTTTATTTCCGCGGCGGAGACAGAGTGCGGCTTGATTGGATGGTAGTAGTGTTGTTGTCTGTGTCTATATGGAGAGCCATGTTACCTCAAACGAGACGAAAAAAACAGTGTTTGGTTGTATTCACTGAACTAAACCGGATCATTTATGCTGCTCCAAATAATTTTTACCCAACGACGTCTGAGCGACCAAAAACAACAGCTACATTTTCCGAGGAGAATTTTAGTGACTTCTTGTTACACCCGTTTCCTAACGGGTATTCTGTCATTACATGCATGACAAAGACCCAAGGGAGGACAAATGTAGCTCGGACAGCATTGGATGGTTCAATGATAGGAAACGTCATTACTTCTATCCCAACTACTGCGCTGCAGAGCGGGTCTTTGTAGGCAGTAGTAGCAGGTTTATAGTGGTAGGCTGGTCAGGGGACGCTGCCCGCATGCCTTTAGGACTTGCAGAACATGGAATAATATACATGCTAAATAAAATGATTTTGTATAGCACTTATCTAGTATTATCAACTACTCAAAGCACTTTACACATACCTATATTCTGAAAATTCTGAAGCATCCAGCACTAGCCTATGTCACACTGACAAGATCAGGAAAATCATTTCACCATCCTTTACTGATGATTTTGTCAATATCAATGGCTTAAAAATGTCATTTTTTGAGTGGAAATAACTTTGGTCACATCTTCATGTACAGTACATTTGTGCATAACTACCTACAACGGTAAATAAAATAAAGAACTGCCAGGTAATATTCAGAGTATGTTTTTTTTGAAAGAAGGAAGTTATAATTTAAGGGGTTTTTGTAACTTCAAAACAATGAAGGTACGTACTACAAGAAAAGGCTTTTGTGTTTCTGTTCAAGGAGTGAAACTATGGAACAAACTGAATATGGAATTAAAGCAATGTCCAAACATAAAACTGTTCAAAAAGAGTTATAAAAATATGATCTTCTCGATCTATAAAGAAAAGGAAAATATTTAAATTAAGTGAATGTCTCTATTTAAAAACAAACAAACAAAAAATCCATGATGTGATATTATAGAATATAGTATATCAGAAATCTGTTCACTATTTTTATTACAAATTATATCAGTAAGGAAGCTGACTAAATATTCACTGATAATTTATGGGACAGGGGTGGGATTAAATAAGTGTATACTTCTTCCCACTCCCTTTCAACATGTAAATTAATCAGAATGTTTTTTTTTTATGTAATTTGTATAGTATATATTTTTTTTTCTCTCATTTCTTTTCTAAATGTACTTGTATATTGTTCACATGTTGAAATAAATTACCAATCAATCAATCAATCAATCAAAAATACACACATCAGCCACAACATTAAACAGTTAAAGTGAAAAACACTGATAATCTCATTCCTCATTTTTCCTGGGAAACCTTCAGGTCTCAGCATCATGTAGATATCGCCTTAACATGAACACTCAACTAAACACTGTTGTAATCCTCCATGGCAACGGAAGAGGATTAGGGCCACCGAAAGAAAAAAAAGTGGGCAAAAGTCAGAATTCTGACTTTAATCTCAGAATTCTGAGAGAAATTAATCCTGAGGAAAAAGTCAGACTTTTTCCTCAGGATTCTGTAAAAGAAGAAAAAAACGACCTGCCCACTTTTTTACCTGTGGCCCTAATCCTCTTCTATACAACCTTCCTCAAGTAGGACAACGCACCCATTTATTCAGTAATAACTAGGAGCGTCTCGAGGAACACATTGTCAGGGTCCATGCAGGTCGTGAAAAAGTATTACAACTATAGTTAAGTAAATATCTACTGTATTAACACAAATGATTTATTATTAGTTGAAAACTATTCCTTGCATATAATATGCACACAATAAGGAATAAAACACATCTCAACCCACATGAAGCTGATACTAATACTAGTATTAATTACTAATGTGAAAGGGCTGCTGAGCCTGTCTGTTTTATTAGACGTCAGAGCTGCCGTCCACTCCCGTCATGGTTACAGCTTTCATTGCTAAATTAATAAAAAGAGTTGCCTCCCACTACTCTCTCATCAGTTTATTGTCAAAGGCTAGTTTATACGCAAAGCCTCTTCACAGATCACCAGGAGAAAGCAGTAGGCATCTCAGGTTGCCCAGCTCCAGCCAAACAAGAGACGGACATGTCCTCAAAACGCAGAGAGCTGCAGTTTTCTATGAGACTGAAAGAAGTTTTCAGCAACAATAGCTGACTGAGGCCACAAGATGGCAGTAATGTAGAGGATTGTTGCACATGTTGACTGACAGGCCAGAAGCTTTTTGACAGTGTTGTCTGAGGTGAAAGGAGAGTGATCACTTTACTTTGGTAGTTTTAATTTCCTTGCTTTTCCCAGTGGAATGGCACTGGAGCGTTGGTCTGACCTGCAAACTACCCAGATCAGAATAACTAACAATACTGTCAGTGCAGTAAGGCGGGTTGTTTCAGTGTTGTTTTTAATCTTAGCTACTTTTTTAAACTATTACTTGGAATGGCAAGATTGTTTTTGACATTACCTGTTCATCTATAGTGCATTCCTTCTCTTGCTATATCAATCACCTTTGTAATGTTGCTTTCAAAATAAAGGTTTTACTTCTTTGACTTTTGACAGTGTTGTGATTCAGCAAAAGCAGAAAAGACAGAAGACATGAATCAGTGGCTTTGGTGTAGTTTAGCCTGTAGCTACTTTTGGCTGCACTCTTGTCACCACAGCAGGTAACTCTGCATGTTTGATTGGCAGTTTTATTCCAATGCTCTTCCAGACATAACCCCAAAGGTGATGTGTATCTCCAGCTAGAACTGACTAAGTGACCTTTGCTGGACTTTGTGGACTTTCCACTAATTAATGTGCTACCCACATTAACCACATTAGTGTAGTGGGTAGCACTACAATAATTAATGATTCTGATTAAATTATAATTTGCATAAGAGGTAACCTAGATAATTGTTTTATGATCAATGATGGCAATAGAAGGGTTTTGATATTAAATGAATGCACTGGTCATAATTTTCAAATCTGTTTGTGGATTTATTATAAGATTGCATTATTCTTCTTTTTTAAAATCATGTGTGAAAGCAACAGTTACACTCTTTCGTCCATCCGGTATAGTGAAAATAACAAATAACAAAGTTTGAAGTTTTTACAGTTTACATTAAAATTTGAATCATATATATTTAATCTCTGTAATATTCTGAATATTTATAATTGAGTTATTTGCATATATTAGAGCTATTGCTTATATTTTGTAGCTTCGTAATCAGTGTTGGGGAGTAACGGAATACATGTACCGCCGTTACGTATTTAAAATACAAAATATGAGTAACTGTATTCCGTTACAGTTACCGTTTAAAAAGGTGGTATTCAGAATACAGTTACTTTGTTGAAATAAATGGATTACACTGCGGTACTTTCCTGTTTCATTTTGTCGCAGGTCAGGACTGTTTGGGTTTGTTTGACAGCTATGTTCTGTTGTTCCAGGCGGCAGCGTTATGGTTGCCATGGTTACAGGGCGACGCTCTCTCTCTCTGCGACTGTGTGTTTCCTGGGTGAGAGAGCGCCTTTTCGTTGTTGTTGTTGTTGTTGTGCTAAGCTAACAGGCAGAATGCTACAAGCATAGCTCTAAAGAATGTAGCATCATGGGCAGTGTAGTCCGTGCTGCAGGGAGAATGGACTGCCATACACGTTATGTGTCTGTGAGCGAGGAGGGAGAAAAAGGGGAGTGGAAAGGTACGAGTTGTCATCGAGCAAAAACAGGAGCTGGAAACATGTAAATATAATAATAACCACTGCAGCCAAGAAGAGTGCCTGATGAGCCCAGTTGTAAGTAAGCTATTAAGACTCGACTATACACCGTGTTCGTGTTTTCCTCCGGAACAATAAGCTCCGTTGGAGCAGCCTTTCAACGCCTCTCTCTGTCTCTCATTAGCAAAGTTGACCCAGACAACAAAGTAAAGCTAGTTTTCGGCTACGAGCCGACAGGAACCCCGCCGTATTAGTCAGAGGTCCCTTTACTACAGTTCGGAGTCGCGGACCTTCAGTAACAGTAATAAATCACACAGCAATAGTACATTCACGTTGTTGTAAAAAGCATGATAATATATTAAGTATTCCAAAGTATTCAGAATACGTTACTGTCATTGAGTAACGTAACGGAATACGTTACAGAATACATTTTGGGGCATGTAATCTGTAATGGAATACATTTTAAAAGTAACCTTCCCAACACTGTTCGTAATATACTATATTATTTAATTGAGTTCAGTCTGTTGCTGTTCACTGTAACCACATAATTTCCTTTCAAGATTAATAATGTATTGTTTTTCTGATTCACACACAGAGATGGATAGATAGATGGATAGGTAGGTATTGTATCCTTCAAGCTCAGCTTCTCTACCAGTGGCCTGAGATCTTGAGGTATGTATTATACTTGATATCATGTTAGGATTTTTTCCCCATCTTTACAAGTGTCAGATTTCTTCAGTATAATAATGAAACTGTTCACATGAAACAGAAGGAATCTGTTGGTTTTCAATGTGAATTTTTTTTCGAATTGGCCAAACACTGCATCTTTAAAATCTGCAGGAACCTTTGGTGGTACAAATTGTACAGTCTTCAAGGCACTTTTGATGGAGTGCTGATGATGTGGGGTGGATGACTCTGTATTTACAAGGAGAGGCACATGTGTCACAGCCAGCGGGGCAAGCCGTGTGGAGTTTAATAAGGACCCAAAACGCAGGCACTGAGGGGAAGGAAAAGCGGAGGTAACATGGAAAATGAGCAGCAGGGAGAACAGCATGGAGGAACAAGTCCACAGAAAACAAAATCAAAGTCTACAGAAAACACTGGAGCTCACAAATACAGTCCAAACACAGTTCAGGGGGTCAGCCTGGGGGCTGACAGCAAAGAAGTCTATACGGTTCTGCAGGTCGACCAGGAGGTCGGTAGCACAGGAGTCAA